ATTATTGGGGAGAAAAATGAGGAAGGTTAAATTGACTCGTTTCTTTTGTTAAGATTTTTTGTTTTTTTATATGTTAAATAAATAACGTAGAGCTAAAGATTCTGGACTTAGTAGTTATTATTAATATTTATAAATGGGATCTTCTTAAATATTTTGAGTAATATATAAAGTTATAAACTATGTCATTATTAACAACCAAGAGAGTTTGATTTGAGTTGTTTTGATTTTTTGGAGAACTTTATGAATTATTTATAATATCTACAATTTCATGAATTATATAATTCAAAAACAATTATGTAAAATAATATCTGAATTATATACTTCAATGTAGACAATCAAATATTACAAAAATTCATAAATAGTCAGGTGTTGATCTATAATAGAATGTTATGTTGATTCTTATTATTAGAAACTGTGTTTATTCTAAGTACTAAATACTTGATGTAAATAGAAAAGAATCAAATTAGATTTGATGTATTTTCTAATAAATTATAAAAAGGATACAAGTATTATTTCTGGATTTTGAAGTGATTTTGATATTAATATCCTAGCATTAATATAATCAAATTTTTTCATGAAATTGATTCTATTTAAATAACAAGTTATAGTATTGATAACTCAATCAGTTTATTGTTACTATTATAGTTTAATAACTATTATTCTTATATTATTTAAAAATAATAAGTATTTAACAATATCAACAAGGTTAATACTAAGCACTCTTTTAAAATGAGTTTCTTCATTTGTTTTTAATATTACGTAATAACAATTTTAGAAAGACCCATTACATCTATTAGTAACTGAAAATCAGTTAATCATAACTTATTATTATAGACAATATAGAAACAATGTTCTACTTATTTATTAATTTTTCTATTACTCTAAAAGTTAACTAACATTCTGGTTGTCATTAAAAAACATCAATATTAGTGCAAAACATAACTTGAATTTAGGTATTTACTTTGACAATAATTTATTATATTTCATTTAATACTTATTTATTATAATTGACAATCAAACTTATACAATTTTTTGTCATTTTATTATATTTCCAGCTTGTTTATACCGAATTTGATATATTCAAGATATTTTGTACTAATACCATAAATATTCATATAATATTTTCTTTATTTATTTCTATTTTTACAATAAAGATATTTGACTTAAGACATTTGTTGTAATTTTAATAAATAACATCTGATTATATATTAACATGCTATTTTAAATAATGATTATAAATTTCAATATATTGAAATAATTTATTGATACTATAATGTTAATTTGAAAAAGTTCTTAAAGTATGTATTTAATGAAATACCAACTAAATTCATTGATATTTAATTTATACTCTTTTTTCTTTATAATACAATTATAATAATATTCTTTTTATTCTTTTTCCATCTCCTTGTAATAATTATACTAATATATTATACAATAATTCATTATTTGATAAAAATATCAATAATTTATAATACTTTAAAAAAGTAATAGTTTTCAATAACTGTTCATATTTTCATTGTAAAATCGTAGATGAATAATATTTTAGCATTTGATAACATTTACTTTTCTAATTCATTTTTATATTTAATCTGTAAATCAAAACATAAAACAAAATTGTTATACCTCATGTTGAATAAAAAACAATTATACTTCATTTTTTATCAGTTTTTATACTGTATATTTTCATATATCTCATTCTTTTTATATTTAATTGTGACAAACAATCTATTTCTAACAAATTAAAATAAAATTATAAATAGAAATAGCCACATCATTAGGTTGATTAACAGTATTATCATATTTTGATAATCCATTTTTCTTTTCGGTAAAAGTGTTTAGTAATAAATAATGAAGAAATATTTTTAAATTGTTATTTATTTGATTAAATTGTTATTTCATTTATAATTGATATTATTCGTTTTGTACATAAAAATAATAATACATCTATTCATTTATACAAATAAATTTCTATTTGTAAATTTAAAACTACTTTGAACTGAATTAATCCATTAACATTTTATTCATGCTTATTGACTCAGTTGAAATTTATTTTTCTGTTTTTCTCTCTATTCAATACTCTTAATGTAGTAATTAATACATATTATTCTCTTCTATAAAATATATTTTGACCACTCTCAACACAATATGTATTATTTATATTCTATGTGTTATTTTATTAAACCATTACTATATTTATTTTTAATAGTCTTATTAAATTCTATAACTCCTTTTATGTTATGTATCATACTTATGTTAATTTAATCCCTTCTTTTTATTTTAATAACCACTTTTCTATGAATTTAATGTAATAAGATTTGACATTTCTTAATTACATATTTATTTAATAAAAGTCATTTATCTTTCATATATCTTTATTTGTTTATGAGTTTTTTCAAAACAATATAATAAATTAATGAATTGGTTTTTTCATCACACTTAAATTATTATACCTTTCCAATTCTTCTTTTTGATTTGTTTCTTTTTAGTATAAACAATCAATATACCAACTAACTCAGTTAAAGTGAATAAACATAAACACTAAAATAAAGTATAGTAAATAACAAAGTTATAACAATTCGATTTAATGTTGATACTAACATTCTTAATTATTTTAACAACAGTGTTGATAAGTTAATACATTGTTTATGTGTTAGTGTCAATAAATTCATTATAACAACTAACATTGTATTGGATATTTATCTTAGCAAGACTGAATATACATCTATTGCTATTTGCTATTTGTATATTATTTTTTATATTAACTCAGTTTTGTTTTGGTTCTTTTTGTTCACTGCGACTTATTATATATTATTTTGTCAGAGAATTTATTATAAACAACATTTTCATACTAATCCATCAAATACATCACTATTCTTTGAAGTATTGTTATTTTGCATTTATAACATAGTTTATATTATTAAACATTAACATAGTAATTACAACATTGAATAATTTAATGACTTAATATTCATTCATGAATAACACCATCTTCTTTTTAATAACAATAGTTAAAGTAAACACCACCATATTTTACATGAAAAAGAATTGTGTGGTATAAGAAATGATTGCCATGATTGAAGATAATTGTATTTTCATGATGAATAAAAGAATTGTTTGATGGAAAGATTATATTTTCAATTGTAAAATTCAGTTTATTCAAACATTCTTTTACTTCTTCATGAATTATCAACAAAATATAAAACACTATGTTGTTGATAACAAACTGTTCATACAAATTAAAAATATATCATCCCATATGAAATAACCAACAAATACTTAATTATTTGAATTAAAAATGATGCTATTAAATCAACACTAAATGAATCAAATGTATTGTTAATTAAATAATATTTCATTCAAATAATAATCTCTGTTTTATGTAATTGAAATGGTAATTATATACATACAAGTACTACATAAATTCTAATAAATCTAACAACTTATATCATAACTATGTATATTTTTGATATTGTTATAGTATTTCTATTGTTTTATTGTTTGTTATATTTAAAACCATAACAACATTCATCTTTTATTTAATGAAATTATATTTAATGAAAGTAAAAACATCATTACACTTTAATTTTGATTATTCATAGTTTGTTTTATCATTACATTTCATCTTTCAATTATTTTATTTTGAGAATAACTTATTTTCTTACATCAAATCATTCTTTATCTTTATAATACATGTGAATTAATCATATAAATAGTCAAGTGTTATTTATTCTATTTTTGAAGAAGTACAACTCCACTAAAGTCTTTTAATACTGTTCATTCTTATTATACATAACATCAAGACATGAAACAAACTATCTGACTTCAATTTATTTATTCATAAGAATAATTGTTTTCTTTGGTTGAATGAAAAAGAAGAAACAAGACTTGTTCATTCAACATAACGATTCAGTCAATGAGAAATACAAAATGGAAATAAAAGAGAATGTAAATAACAAATTCAATTAGAATAATGCATGAAAAACTCAAATAACCATTTCATCTCATCAGAATTCAATGGACAATCATCTCTTTGAATGTTTGGTGTTGAATAAAAGAGTTGTAATGAATGTAATAGTTTGTTTGCTAGAACAACTCCTTCAGTTCCCTCGAATATTCTCTCATGTTTTCTTGTGATTTCCCAGACAAATTCCAATGCAACAAACTCTTTCTGAATGTCATCTCCAACAATGAAGATATTGACAATGCAAGGAATCATCTTTTTAATGTTTTCTTCAGTAATTTGATCAAACACTTCTTCACTATCAATACTCATCAATACTTCTTCTAATTTAAGTATGTTATTGACATTACTTGATATACTATAATTCAATCTAGACTTCTTTTGATTAGGAACATCTTCTATTTCAAGTCGTTTTGTTGGTGTTTTTGATAATTCTTTTGTTCTTTTACGTAGATTATCTTGAAGATCAACTAAGGATTGCAATGCATTTGTTCTTTGTGTGTTTTCTTGATTTTTAAATTTGTTATTATGAGATAATTTGTTGATGAGAGGATTAGAACTTTTCTTTTTTGCTGACCCTTCATGAGTGTTTATTTCTAATTGCTTATTGTTTGATTTGGGAGTGAGTGTGGTGGTAAGAGATGGATGAATGGTGTTATTTGGTTGAATAGACTTTCTTTTTGTCTCTTTAAAGTCTCGGATGATTTGATACATCTCATTAATTTTATCCAAGATAGATTTGAGATTAATGGCATGTTGTTTATTCCATTGAACTTGTTCTTCTTGCATCTCAAAGATTTTTTCATTCTGTAACTTGATGCCATCAAGTAATTGGATGATTTCAGGTGGTACTTCTCTTTGCATTACTTTTCATTTTGATTTTAAGATTATCAAATCTTCTTTTCAACTATATTTATCCAAAAGTTCAACAAAATGAAAGTTATTTTTCTCTCACAGAATCTGAATTTTTAACATGTTTGTCTCACAACCTGCACGGTCAACTTGCATTGGAATTGATTTAGGAACAACAAACTCATGTATGTGTGTTTTTGATAAAACAACACCTCGAATTCTGGAGAATGCTGAAGGAAAACGAACAACACCGTCTTGTGTTTCTTTTACACCAACAGGAATATTAGTGGGAGAAGCAGCAAAACGAATGGAAGCATTACATCCAACAACCACTGTTAGTGGAGTTAAGAGAATGATAGGGTGTCAATACAAAAATGTTGAGCAACAAAGAAAACCTTACAAAATTGTTGAAGGAAGAAATGGAGAAGGATGGATTTATATCAACGGCAAGACATATTCTCCATCGGAAATATCATCATTTATTCTTAAGAAATTAAAAAAAGATGCAGAAGCTAAACTAGGGAAAAGGGTAGATGAAGCAGTTATCACATGTCCAGCATATTTCAATGATGCACAACGACAAGCTACTAAAGATGCAGGAACACTTGCAGGATTAAAAGTTAAACGAATTATTAATGAACCAACAGCAGCAGCATTAGCATATGGAATAGACACAAGAAAAGAAAATGAAGGAAAGAATATTGCAGTTTATGATCTTGGAGGAGGGACATTTGATATTTCTATTCTTAATATTAATAAGGGGATTTTCCAAGTTAAAGCAACGAATGGAGATACAATGCTTGGAGGAGAAGATTTTGACAAAGCTATTTGTCAATATATTGAGAAAGAATTTGAACGAAAATATAAACGAAATCTTCAAAGAAATAAGAAAGGATTAGTAGAATTAAAG